TACAATGCACCCATATGCATTTCAACTATAGTATACTTTTCTGTTGATAATGTACACATATGCATTTCAACTATATCATACCTTTCTGTTGACAATGCATCCATATGCATTTAAACTATAGTATACTTTTCTGTTGATAATTTATCCATATGCATTTCAACTATAGTATATTTTTCTGTTGATAATGCACCCATATGCATTTCGACTATAGTATAATTTTCTGTTGACAATGCACCCATATGCATTTAACTATGGCATCCTTTCATGCCAATAATACACCCATATGCATTATTATTTTCATTCATTTTAGAGCATTTCATAATCTAAAACTCATCCACAATATCATTTCCATGTATTCAATAAAACATAATATTTACGGTAAAACATACATTAACATTGAAATATTTTATCTTGAATAATTTCTAATCATTTTCATCTAGATTGCATACAATAAATGTACTCACCTGACTTGCCTTGCTTTGATATCCAAAACTCACCAACTGCTACTCCAGAAATTGGTCTTTGCCTTTTACTTTACTTGATTCAGGAGCTTGATTCTGATCTACACTATTATCCATTAAGTACATATAACATACCAATGTTAGTATACTCTTTACCATTGTACCTTAAGAATATTCAAAATATCATTATCTCAATTTTTATAACAATTACAACCTATTTGGTCGTTCTAAGCTCAGTAGTATTGATACTATTACCCTAGTACCGATACTTCAACACTATGGTACCTATACTTCCTCTGAGTATCGAAACCAAAATTAGGATCGATTTTTCCTGGTGTCGATACCCTTACCATGGTATCTATACTATCATACTATGGTACTGAAACCCCCTTACGGTATCGATACCAAAATTAGATTCAATGTTTTCTTGGTATCAATACCCTTACCATGGTATCAATACTTCTTCAATCAGTATCAATTCTATCCAGAAAATTCATCTCCTTTTTGCCTATAGTATCGATACTGTTCTATCAGTACCGATACTCTTGCCCAGATTTTTCAATTTTTAACCCGATTATTAGCTAAATGGGGCTAAATTTCATTATATTTTCACACGAAAATGCTATGTTACTATTCTCTAGTTATCCATATAAATTTTCCTTCATCTTGTTTCATAAAACATCAAACATCTTTCTAGCTCATCTCAGACGCCTAGCTCGCCACTCCCTCTAGCTTGTTAATGGAGGAATGACACGACAAAGACAATTGATAGAAAAATAAGAGACATTTTTCTCCCTAAAAATAAGCTAAAGCTGACGTGTGTAAAGTCGCTCTCTCTTGGTGGCTTCATCTCCTATTTATACAGGGAAAATAAACCTAGAAATTTGTGTTAAAATTCTTAGGATACCCCGATCAGGCTCCTTGCATGTGAGGAGGTGAGCAGTTGTGGTAGTGGTCCCCTCTAGGGTAATTGAGCAAGGACCAGAAGGGATCATCTTGCAACTGGGTATGGTCCCAACAGAATCAGATGACCCATGTAGCAGATGTCTCCTACTAAGTGACCGACGGTTGAGGGTACGTGAAGACAAAGACAACTGGCTCATAAAAATATCATCTTTCATCATTTTCGCTTCCAAAATGCCATCCGATTTGGAATTTCAATTCTTCTCAGCAGTCTTATCATGTCACGACGTTTCTCTTTTTCTTATCCTTGCTCCCAATTCCTACACATCATCAAACAAAACATCTTCCCCATAACGCAGCACCATTTACAAAATAAAATGCTACGACAAAATATATTTCCACCGCATGCAACTATATGCTCCTAAATTCAACTATATAACCCTATATGAGCCCTTAGACAGTCAATAACCTAAAGAAAATGCCCTAAATATGACATTTTTATGAGTTATCACACCCCCAAACTTAAACTATTGCTTATTCTAAAGCAATGGATATTATTAAGAAAACAAAAAAAATATCATGGCAAGTTCAAATTCATGATAGTTATATAGGATAGAATTTCAACCCTCAAAACATTTGGCTTCAACATGCTAAAGTAGTTTGAAAAATCAAGTGGTGTCCCCTAAGGCAAGATCCTTTGTGTGAGTGTGTGCGTGTGATTGTATCAAGTCCATGCTTAACAAATATAGAAAATTTCTAAGCAAGCTCTCTTGTTTTGCCACGACATTTACAAGTTTACTCCCACATTGTTTTTTTAACATTGTTATGAGGGGAGTCAGCCCATCACACCTATCATCCCACACTCTAGGTGAAAAAGAGCATACCTTCTTCCCCAGAGCTAGTCATGTAGAGTCATCCTATGACTACTTTCATTCACTTATATGCCGTGGCTACCATTTATTTAAATGTAAATTCTAGGCAATGAAATGGCATAGCGAAGTGTCCCTCTATAGATATGCTGAAGCATTTATTCTCAATTTTATTATTTTTTTATGCTAGGTTTTCATCATTCATTATCAAAGTTTTATGCCAAGGCATGCAAGAGTTCTCTTATAAAAAAAATTATAAGTTCCTTAAGCATGGAAAATATACAATATTGTATCCAAAGGTTTAAAAGAAACAAGTCCTAGAGTTAGTTCTATCATCCTCAACAGTCATGTATATTCAATTCTAGCCATAAAGAGTTCATTATCATCGGGAATCCTTAATTTATTCCAAAAAACTAATTCAAACACTTACTAATGTCATGGCATATTCATTATACTAATACTATCATGCAATGATTTGAAATACCATACATTCCCCAAACTTGAGAGAGCATTTTCCTAAATGCTAAATAAAAACTAAGTAAAACTAGACTACATGTTATGTAATGCATGAAACCTTAACTTTATGTTTGTGGTAGGTTGGAGGTCGTTCGACGTGGGCGCTTGCACAATTATATAGGGATGGAATGTTCAAAATCTGATGCGAGTGCAGTAGGGGGTCATAAGGCCTTCTGCGACCGGGGATAGTTGAGGCTCCTAATGTATAAACACCTTCTTCAACCTGCGTCTACTCCTTCGCAGAGGAATTTGCTACGACATTTCTGATTGGTCACCATCAAGTGGCTTTATAGGTTGCGGGGGTACTGGTACGGTTGAGAGCTAGAGCTCAGTTTCTTGACATTTGGTTGCTGACACTGAGTGGAATGGATTAGGATCAGTTGGTTTCTCGTCATCAGTGGGTTAGTGAGCATCTTCTGAGACCTCTACATTCTTAGATGGGTGCAAGAACGTATCAGGGAAGACTGGATATCAAGATTAATGTGCGGGAGAATTTCCATGAAAGCATTTTCCAGAAACTCGTTCCGACGCTTTACATAAGCAAAGAAGGTCATCATATTGCTAGTCAGTTGTTCTATGTGATCTTGGGTTCGCTTAGTGACCTCCTCTAGAGCATCTTTTTTTACCCTGGCATATTGGGTTGTATCAGCGCAGGAAGTGTTCTCATTTTTTCTTTTCCCTAGTTTTCCTTGAATCCAAGTAATATAGGATGCTTGGCCTTTGTAATACCAAACAACCCATACAACATCTCATTAAACTGCTTCCCTGGCACCTTTTTCTTATGGTAGAGAATTGTAATGAGGTTTGGAAATACCAAGGCACTAACAGGTCGCTTCAAACAAGAATGAACTTGTTCGACAATTATCTTGCTTATGTCAATGGAACACCCTACCAAAATAGAGTGCAAAAGAAACATCCTCTACAGTGAGACTGTGGTGTTGTGGGCAGTTGGGAGAAGATTGTGGTTCATGAAATGATTTCACAACTTAGACCTCGGTTATAGCCTCTCTCGATCCACCGTTCGTCGGCTGACTTGTTGGCAATTCCACTGTGTGTTTGAAAAACATAGGTTTTCCAATATGCCATGGTAAGTCTCATTATCTACCTCTTTTGTGAATATGGTGTGGTTAGCAACAATATCATGCATGTTAAAATAACGACTAATAGCTAAAGAGGTAAAGTGAATATAAATACCACCGAACCACCACAACATGTTGATTTGGGTCGATTAAGTTGGCATAAAACTCCTTCACTAGAGAGGCATTTACATTCCTTGGATGCTTGGTAAATGTTTTCCTCTGGTGCTTGTGAGCGATGTCCATGACATCATTGCCGAGGTTGGCATCTTCATTGTCGAAGAAAACAAAACCTAACTCAATTAAAACCAGACGGTTATTGAGCCTTTAAAACTATTCTTACACAGCTTCATCAACGAAACACGATGAAGATGATGGAGCCATGCTTGAAGGACGTGAGCGCACCATGGTTTAGTTGACAAAACAAAGAAAAGATGAAAAAGCTTGAAGCTTTTTAGCTATGGCGTTAGATGCTAAGGAGGGAAAAAGAAGAAAAAATAAAGATTCAGTGAGAGAGTAAAAATGATGAAAACAAGATGAAAAGGTAAAATGAGGGGTTATTTAACATGTGGATGGGGTGTTAGTTGGGGAAAAAGACAAAAGTAATAAAAATAAACCCTAAAGAAAACTAAAGATTTCAAAAAGTAAAAAGGTGAACTTTTCCCTCCTATTTTGTCTTGTTGTCGCCCACTCTCCTTTCTTTAGCCGTACTGTCATAACGTGCCTGCTGCATGGACCCTAAATTTGTAAAACAAAATAAAATAATCAACCAAAAGGAAACTGAGTATAACAGTATTAAAATAAACATTTATTTATGCTCAGGAGTAAATCCAAAATGTAATGGCATCTTCACAATGCTTAGCAGATTTCGGCATCGTTCAAGAAGAGTGTTGATTTGTCACGCAAGGGCGGAGCTCCTTGATAAGCCTTTAGACGCTGGCCATTAACTTTGAAAATAGACCCATCATCTATATTTTTTATATCAACAACTCCATGAGGGTATACACGGTGTACTTCAACAGGTTCGTACCATCCTGACTTTAGTTTTCTAGAAAAGAGCTTCAGCCTCGAATTGAAAAGGAGAACATGCAGGCCATTATGAAAATTCCTTGGAAAAAGTATTCGATCATGCCACTTTTTAGTTTTTCTTTGTAAAGCTTGGCATTTCCATATGCTTATGGTTGAAATTCTTCTATTTCATTAAGATCAAGAAATATTTCCTCCCCAGCTAGTTGTGCGTTGAAGTTCAGCTTCTTGATAACACAATATGCCTTATGCTCTAACTCCACAAGTAGGTGGCATGATTTCTCATATACCATCTTGAAAGGTGACATTCCTAAAGGTGTTTTAAATTCCATCCGATAAGCCCCAAGTGCTTCGTCCAGCTTCGGGGACCAGTCATTCCTTCTAAGATTCACCACATTTTCTAGGATTTGCTTAATCTCCCGGTTGGACACTTCAGCTTGCCTATTGGTTTGTGGGTGATATGTCATGACAATTTTATATCATACTCCATATTTTTCTAATGCCTTGGCAATCATCTTGTTATCAAAATGAGTGCCCTCGTCAATGATGATGGCTCTCGGTGCTCCAAATCGGGTAAATATGTTCTTGTGAAGGAACTTGAGCACATTTTTACAGTCATTCCTCGGTGTGGCAATAGCTTCAACCCACTTAAATACGTAGTTCACAACAAACAAAATATACAAGTCTCCAAAAAAAGATGGGAATGGCCCCATGAAGTCAATGCCCACAGGTCAAAGAGCTCGACCTCCATAATGTTTTGCAATGCATTTCATGTCGCCTGGAATGTTCCCAGTGTGTTGGCATCTACCGTACACTTTACAAAACTCGTGAGCATCCTTGAATAGTGACGGCCAATAAAAGCTTGATTGGATGACCTTAGTAGCAATCCTCGTACCTATGAAATGTCCTCCATAGGGGGCTATGTGGCAATGGTATAGAATGTCTCTTTTCTCATCCTTAGGGACACATCATCGAATTATTTGATTGGCACAATGTTTAAATAAGTATGGCTCATCCCAAAAGTAGAACTTGGCATTATGCTTGAAATTCTTCCTGCCCTGGTTGTTGAATTCATAAGGCAAAATACAACTAACAAGAAAATTGATGATCTCAACATACCACAGAATTGTCGTGGCAAATAAAATTTTCTCATCAGGGAATTATTCTTGAATATCTAAAATGTCATGACATTCAGAATTGTTCTCTAGCCTAGATAAATGATATGCAACTTGGTTTACAGTACCTTTTCCTATCTATTACCACTAAGTCAAATTCTTATAGTAGTAATATCAACCAAATGAGTCTAGGCTTGGCATCTTTCTTGTTCACTAAGTATTTTATAGTTGAGTGATTAGTATGAACAATAACTTTGGTGCCTATCAAGTATGACCTAAACTTGTTAAATGCAAATACCATAACAAGTAATTCTTTCTCAGTAGTAGTATAATTTAGTTGTGTTTTATTCAAGGTACGACTAGCATAATAATATAACATGGAAAATTTTACCTCTATATTGCCCAAGCACAGCTCCCACGTAAAAATCACCCGCATCACACATCAGCTCGAATTATAACGTCCAATCAAGGGGAACCACGATAGGTGCAAATATAAGTCTTTGTTTCAGCATGGTGAATGCACCATGGTAATTTTTATCGAATAAGAAGGGCTGATTTTGTTGAGGCAAGGTGCATAAGGGCTGGAATATAGTCGAGAAGTCCTTGATGAATCTTCTATAAAACCCAACATGTCCAAGGAAACTCCAAATACCCTTGACAAAAGTTGGTGGGGGTAACTTGTCAATCACCTCAATTTTGGCTTTGTCCACTTTAATGCCCTTTTGAGAGATCTTATGGCCTAGAACAATGCATTTGGTCACCATGAAGTGACACTTTTCCCAATTTACCACGAGATCGCCCTCCTCACATCGCTTGAGTACCTTTGCCAGATTGCTGAGGCATTTCTCAAAGTCATTTCCAAAAATAGAGAAGACATCCAGAAAGATTTCTAGAAAATCCTCAACCATGTCATAAAATATTGCTTGCATTCAGCGCTGAAAAGTTGTTGGGGCATTACAGAGTACAAAAGGCATCCTCTGAAAAGCATAAGTGTTATAGCGACACGTGAATGTAGTATTCTTTTGGTTCTCTGGTGCAATGGCAATTTGATTATGCCCCGAGAATCTGTTCAAGAAGCAGTAAAACGCCTTGCCAGCCAGTCGATCCAACATTTGATCGTTGAAGGGCAAAGGGAAGTGGTTCTTCTTGGTGGCCTTATTTAGCTTGCGATAGTCCATATATTCGTCACCCAGTGACAGTGCCTGTTGGCAACAACTCATTGTTCTTACTTGTCACCACGGTCGTACCTCCCTTCTTTGGCACACATTGGATGGGACTCACCCAAGAACTGTTAGAGATAGGGTAAATCACTCCAGTATCAAGCCATTTGAGAATTTCTTTCATCACAACTTTCTTTATGATTAGGTTTAATCTTTTTTGTGGTTCTATGGATTTTCCATGGCATTCTTCTAGTCGGATTTTGTGCATGCAAATAGAGGGACTTATTCGATTCAGATTCGCCATATTCCATCCTAACGCCCTCTTGTGCTGTGACAAAACACTTAACAAACTACATTCTTGGTTAGGAGTAAGGGCAAAGATATAATAACAAGTAAAGTTTCATTACTACCCAAATAAACATATTTAAGATGTTGTGGCAAATTATTTAACTCTAGAGTATGTTCATGATGTAATGAGGGATTAGGAGGAACAAACTCATCGAAATCAAGAGGTTCAAAACGAGTACCTGGGCTAGCATGAGAAAGCTAGCCTGCTGCTCCTATAAAGAAAAGTCATTGGGCTCTTTGGCACTTTCTTCTTCAATAAGCCTCTCATAATTTTCCAGCTGAATGAAGTTGTCATGGTAAAATTGATCATTTTCTCCTGTTATCAATGAATTTGCTTCAAAAATTCTATGGCATTCTTTAGACTCATCCATGTACTTGAGAGTACGAAAAACATTAAAAGTGACACATTGGTCGGCCACTCTCATGGTAAACTCACCCTTCCCACATTCAATTAAAATACGTCCAGTAACTATGAAGGGTCTCTCCATGATTATGGATGCCGTGGTATCAACCTCGCAATCCAGTATCAAAAAGTCTACTGGAAACACAAATTTGTTCACCTTTACAATGACATCCTCGGCTCACCCTTTAGGATGAACATGGGAGCGATCGACTAATTGCAATATAACATAGGTGGGTCTCACATTTCCTATTCAAAGCTTTACGAAGATTGACTTAGGAATTAAGTTCACGCTTAAGACAAGGTCATATAGTGTATTCCCAACATAATTTTCTCCTATCGAACATGGAATGATAAAACTGCCTAGATTTTGTATTTTTGGTGACAGCTTGCTTACGGCAGAGCAATATGCTTTTTTCGTGGCAACTGTCTCGTACTTCTCAGCTTTTATTTTCTTGGTGACAATCTCCTTGAGGAATTTAGCATATGTCAGCATTTGTTCTATAGCTTCAAGAAAAGGAACATTGATGTGAAGTTGGTCCAGAATGTCGAAATACTTCTTGAATTGAATGTTATCATTATGCTTATTCAGTCTTTGTGGGAAACTAGGTGGGGGTATGATTTCCTTTAATAAAGGGGTGGGAACAACATTTGCGTTGTCAATTTTTGTTTGCTCACTAAGTTTTTTTACTCAATGAATCCTCATCCTTATCCTCATCCACTTGTGTTTCTTATGGAAATTCATGCTCAACTTGCATGGTTACAGGGGGTAAATCATTCTACACTGGTTGATTTTCTTGTAATGCCTTGAAAATGTGACCAACGTGACCTTCCAACGCCCTCAAAGATGAACTGTGGCTTTAAAGCAAAGCTCCTTGGTTTTTTATGGAGGTCGCATGGTCTTGCAGCTTGGTTTTCATGGTTTCTATAAATTCTTTCATTGTGTCCTTTAAAGAACTTATCTTGAATGAAGATGTCCATCCCTTATTAGAATTTTGCCATGGCATATTCGTTTGAAAACCTTGGTAGTCATTGAAATTCTGCTGCTGAACGGGTTGATTACCACTACTGGTTCCTTGATTTCCCCACAAGAAGTTTGGATGTTGGCACCATCCAGGAATATATGTGTTAGAATAGGATTTGTTGTTCCTTCAATTGTAGTTTTTCACATAGTTGATGGATTCCTGATTGGTCGGGCACTAGCTCTCATGGTGATTGCCATGACATAATAAACATGCTGAATTGGATGCCTTCATTTTTTTCACCTCACTTGGTCTTTGTAAATTCTTTAACATGTTGATGATGGCAGCAAGTTTGGCGGACATAGAATCCTTAGTGTCTAACTCGAATGCTTCATGTGATTTTCTCCCAATTCCAGGCCTTGTATATGACAATTGATAATCATTGTTGGCAATCCTATCCAGAATGTCGAATGCCTCTGCAGGTGACTTATCGTGAATGTCTCATTTGCTAAGGCATCTAGCATCATACTAGTGGGTGCATTGACTCCGTTATAGAACATTACCACATGAGTCCAATCTTGAAAACCATGATTTGAATATTTGTGAAGCAATCCTTTATATTGATCGCAACATTCATACATTGATTCATCATCAGTATGACGAAAAAAGTGATGTCGTTCCTCAGTTGGTTACTCATGTTCGGAGGATTATACCATAGCAAAAAACTTTTGCACAGATCAATCCAAGACTTCATCAAACCCACTGGAATGCCACTCAACCAAGCCCTTGCTTGGCCACGTAGAGAATATGGAAATATATTTAACTTTAATACATCTTTGTGCACTCATTGTTGACAAAAATAATCGCACACCTCCAAGAAGTTACGAATATGTTGTATGGCATCTTTATTTGGAATTCCCCAAAATTGCCCTATGAAATTTAGCATATTAAACACGATATATTTGAGCTCAAAATGGGCTGCCTAAATCTTGGGTGCCACAATTCCTGGATTTAAGTTGTCCAAGATAAGATTTAAGTGATTATGAATGGCACGAGGTATGGCTGCATTCCCAGCAATTGGAATTGCCTTGACATTTTGATCTTGCTCGTGACCAATACCTTGATTTCCAATTTGATACATGTTTGTACGTTGAGAACGTCTTCTTTTCCTAAACATCCTCTCAATCTCAGGTTCAATTGGTTCTAATGGATCGTCAGAGTGTCTTCTGGTCATGCCCCAAGAAAAACATGAAAAAGGTAGGGAAAATAACAAGTAAAACTATATAAAAAATGAAAAAGTAAAATAAAAATGCTATGAAAAAACTAATTAACTTCCATTGCCAATCCCCGGTAACGGCGCGAAAAACTTATCCTCGAATTATGACTACTATATATGGTCTAGAAAATACGTGAAAGTATACACAATCGATCAAGTAATACAATGATGACTGAGTATCGTATCCACAGGGATTGGAGGAAATT